GATTATTGTAGACTTAACCTATTTTTTATTTGTGAATAAGTCAATGTAGTCGCTTATTGATTACATCTATTAGAGTCTATGAAAATCCATCCCGTATTTCATGTATCTCTTTTAGAGCTATGTAAGATAGTGAATATCTTGAGAAGAAGACAAATACCACCACCTCCTATAAAAATGGATAATAATTAAGAATTTGAGGTGGAAGAAATCTTAGACTTAAGATGGCACTGACATAGGTTAAAATATCTTATTCATTGGTACAGATATAATATTAGCAAATACATATGGGAGCCAATAAAAAATCTTACAAATACAATAGAGAAGATTAAAGTTTTTTTTATTAATCACATCCATCAAAATCAACATAAAGGATAGCAAACTTTTACTATAAAAGAAATATAATTTAGAAAAGATTGCATTCTATCTTTTATTTTTATTTGTAATTTTTATATAATTATAGAATTAAAGAAATGGAAAATCAACAACTAATAGATTCAACTTAAAAGCCATCATTTTTTGACTTATCAAGTAAGACATTGCAATTATCACAACCTTCAAGAGAACATAATAGAGATGAAGACCTTCAAGAATAAGAAATTCTTTCTTGAATAGATAGCAAGATACAATACATTTAGTATCATGACTTAAAAAGAGACTCTCAATATTTGGTGATTTTATTGGAGCTAGAAACAACTCTTGATGGTATTATAAATGTTTTATTTGAAAGAAGTTATGAAGGTTTCAACAATGATCAAATAACATTGTGGTCTTTTTGTCTTGAAATAGGATATTATTGATGGCTAAGAAGACCTATCAACTAACTTCAAAGGAAACAAAGATCAAAGTAGGTAGAAAATATAATTTGCAGCATCTTAGACTTCCTCAATATGTACTTGCGGCTCCTTGTAGAACTCCTCTTCAGAAGGGGAGATAATATTATGGACATATATCAAGTATAATTATTACCTAGATAATACGAATAGATTAAAGTAGATAAAAATAGATTAATTTCATAATACCTTCTAAAAAAACTTCTTAGATGCTATTTTGACTTTACATGTGTTTGTAGTTGATTGATAGGTTAGAAACTTGGTCAACAAACTAATCACATACCACATGTATTAATAGCTTGTGGAACAAGCTAACTATGTGGTGTCTATATAAAAAACTTGCCTTGCAAGTTAAGATATATGTCATGTAAAGTCAACATGTTTTTGGAGATCTTATAGAATGTTGCCACATATATCCTAAGTAGATAGTATATATAGAAGTAAGAATGAAGCCTTCTTCATTCTTGTCAATTCCTTTCTTGCTTCTAGTCTAGTTTCAAGAGCCTCTAGTTTTCTTATTTTTTGGCAATAGCCATTCTAGTTATTTTTTTTTTTTTAAATACATACTTAACTATTTTTATTTTGTCATATTTCTTTGAGAGAGTCTCACTTGTTTATTTGCTTTCATCGAGTTCTTGTCCTTGACATCTCTTCAATCAATAAAAGAAATCGAAAATTTTCATAGGTACACAATTTGTTTCTTATGATTTGGTTTTGATATTGCTTCACAATTAGTCATCTCTAAATAGTAATTTTTAGCTTTTTAAGATAATTTTTGCTAGAAACTACTCTTAACTTTCTCTTAAATATGCATATAGTATTTTTTTTCAATGTGGTCTTTTGTCTTGTTTATGGTTCATAAAGTAAGTAAAAGCCTTTTTACAAATATGACCTTTAATACTAAATGTATTTACTATCTCTTTATCTTTTGTTCATGTCTTTTTATAATATAATTCACATTTTTTTTCTTTAGACTTGTAGCTATATTATAATATAGCAATCCTTTATTGTATTCTCAATTTGATAATTTTCTAAAGTATCCTTGAATTATTAAAATACTATAAATATATATATATATATATATATATATATATATGATAAATATACTAAATTAATAGTAATTTCATACATATTAATGGATTTTATAAAAATATTTAAAACTTATAAATAATAATAATAAAATTATGACTTAATTAAGAAATTCTTTAAAGATAATATTTTATATTTTAAAGATGTTGGATATTATAAAATCATAAATAATAAATATATAAAATATAAATAGAAATTATTTAATAATTCGTAATATAAAAAAATTAATAAAATATTTATTTTGGATTTATTATATCAATAAGAACATTGAATTTGATATGTTGATTTATTTTTTTATTCAGATTATATGGAAAATTACAAAAAAATTTAAAAACTAATAAAAATGCATGTATTCAGATGTCTTCTATTTTTAAAACAAAAAACTTATTGTATTACTCATGCATATTCATATTTATTAACAAGTGTTAGAAAAAAATGCTAATACTATTTATTTTTAGTATATATATACATACACAAAAGCTACATACCTAATCTTTTTTATAAGTCTAAAAAATAATTTATTCAAATAAGAATATTCCAATACAAATCAAATAATTTTATATTTAAAATGTATCAAATAAATATTACATTCATAATTTAAATTTTATTATTTAAATTTTTATTATTTTCATTAGCATTCTTTATGGTATAAAAATTCTTGATTTTACAAGCATTAATGTGTTTTAATTTTAATTACAAATATTTTTATAAAAATATATTTGGACCAATGTATTAATATGTTTAAATGTTTTAAAATTAGAAATTTATAATTGAATTAAAAATTAATTTTTTTGGAAATAAGTTTGCAAAATGAATCATAATTAATATGATGTAATATTTATGTATTTCAAAATAGATTAGAAATACTGTGAACATTGTTACAATTGTATGGAAAAGAAGTAATAAAAACAATCTATTTATAACACAATAATTTTACAAAAAAATATTTAAAAAAGAAAATTCATGATTTAATATAAAATTTTAACTTAACTATGTCTTTTATTTTTAATCTTTTTGTTTTATTATGAATCATTTTTTGAAATTTTCTTGTAATTTTGTTTTCTAGAAATTTTAATTTTTTAATCCTCTTAGTTGTTCTCTACACTACAAGGTTTTTCCTTTTGGTCATTGTATGAGTTTCTTTATTAATTTATTTATTTCATTTGGATAAATTATAAGATATCGAAAAATATCTCAATAATAGATGGATCAGGCAGGGTCACGTCAGGTGATGAATATCATCAACACATCCATCCATCGGAGAAGCTGCTTCTCGCATCAAAGTGGGTTATTAGTCCACATTGTGTCCGACTCCGCATCCACCCAAACAAACGATTATAGGATGGCGCAGTTCGATTGTTTGGATTGCTGCTGGGGAATACAACAGCAGCAATATGGAAAGGCACCTGGGGGCATATTCTTACTTACACAAAGCTCAGAGCGCCAGGATCTGTTCACGATGAAGGGATGGATCTTCCAGGGCAGATCCGGAGCAGGAGAGAGAGAGGGAGCCTTTCTGCTTCGGGGATTAGCCGCGCACCATCTGCAAAGTCGCGTCAATTCCTTAATTACAAGACTAGGGAAAAAAAAAAAAAAAAAAAAAAAAAAAAAAATCATGTGTCAATGGATGCTCCCAGTGCACTTCCTGTTGGACCGCTGCGCGAAAGGACCACCAGCTCAGAATTTAGAAACCTGAGTGGTCGATAATTGTGGGTTACGTCGAAAATGATGGTGTTGTGGTTTCAATTCAGGAAAGTTTCCATACTGGATCTCGGACTTTAGGACTCCTAGCAGCACATTTAGATTGTGTCCCAAGTGTGTCTTTTATCTTGGCTTTTTTATTTTTTTTCTTTTTACTGCCAACCCCCCAAAGCTTCGGAACTGGGTCGGGATTCTCTGAGCATGAGGTCCGATTTTCCAGGCGGATCTGCCGACTACGTGAAATGCAAGATGATCAGTGATACTGCGTGAGTTGAAGCACAGCCATGAGGCCATCTCGAATTGCTGCAGTTTTTTCTTCGATGGCTTGACCGGATACAGCTCGGGCACAGAAGCACCACCACGCTTGCAAGAGGATGTGTCCTTTCTCAGAGGTACCATGTAGCTTTGCTGCAGAGGTAACCGTGTGGCATGATCAAAAACACCCCAGAGCTGTTTCAGTTGCACGACGAGATGTTTCGTAATCAAATCGTGGTCCACATCGATCCGATGTGCAACGTCAACGCCCCGTTCACGAATGTTTGCAATACTCAACCAAAAACCAGATTTTCTTTCCATGAAACGTGTAACGTAGGGTTAAGTAAAGCATATTCTCCAGCAGATCTCGGTAAAGTAATATTTACATGATGTATGGCTCAAGTGAATTTCCCAGTAGTTTGACACTTCCTGACGAAGTCATGAAAAAATCCCTCATTAGTTACAAATTCTATCCCATATCGGAATTCTGTAGCCGAATCGAGTATAGACCAAATTACGATGTGGAGAATAGCAGTTGGGGTAGATTTCACCCATCCTTCTCGGGAGGATGAACTAATCAACTTGAAGGCCCACTAGTGCAGATGAAATGAATCGAAATGGCTCATTGACTTTCTTGAGCTTTACAAAAACTGCAAAGCTCATGGATTCCAATACTTCATTTCATCTCAAGATCCAAACTGAAGTCCTGGCTTGTTCAAAAATTGGACAGTTTTATGAGCGCCATAACTACTCAGGTTCTCACAAAAAGTTGGCTGCTCATCTTATAATAGATCTCAAAACCTCAAAAGATATACCAAATTCAGGCGTGCTAGGACGCAAATACTGAGATTTCGCACCTGGTCAACTACGAGTGTCGTGTGCCAAACTGGAAGTTCCAGACGGCCCGCCCCGCTCGGCGCGTAGTGCCTTGGATACGACTCTGAGGTGATGAACCGCGTTTCAAGCAGTGTTGCCGCCAGTCATCGAACGTGATTTTCGCAGTTTAGCTCACATGTTGACAATCAGATTGGAGTTCCAAGCACTGTTCCCCCATTCTCTCCGTTCCTTCAGGGTAGTTGCGCTGCAATTGGAAAAGTCGCTTTTCGCGTATAAACCCATCGCGAGCTTCCAAATATCATCTTCCACTGCAGCAAAGGTTGGTCCTCTAGCGTTCGTAGTAGTTTGAGTGTTGTCTCTCATGACTATCTAGCAGCAAGCGAGTTACCTGTTGGGTTTTGGAGTCATTTGTCCCGTAGACGTGCTCTACTAGAGGATCATGACGATGGCTGCATTCGGCGTTAAGCAAACCGTTGCTCTGCTGGTTCAGCTGGCGGTGGTTGTCCACTCGGTGGTTGGTGCACCACCTGGGTGGCAGGATGCGCACATCACTTACTACGGCTCGCCCAACGGTGGAGGGACACAAGGAGGCGCTTGTGGGTATCAGAACACAGTGTCACTGGGATACGGATTCATGACTGCGGCGCTAAGCTCTCCTTTGTTTCAGGGTGGAAAGGCTTGCGGTGCCTGCTTCCAACTCCAATGTGCTCGAGTTCAGGAAACCCGAACTGTGAAGAATTGGTGCCATGATTACTCGAAGGCCATCACCGTCACCGCCACCAATCTGTGCCCCCCAGGATCTGAAGGAACATGGTGCGATCCTCCTCGGCATCACTTCGACTTGCCAATGCCCGCTTTCTTGTCGCTTGCAAGGCAAGAAGGAGGAGTTGCTCCAGTTTACTACAGGAGGGTGCAGTGTTTGAAGAAGGGCGGAATCCGGTTTACCATGGGAGGCAACCCTTGGTTTCTGATGGTACTTGTTCACAATGTTGGCGGTGCAGGCGATGTAGTGGCCGTGAAAGTGAAGTGCCCCTCTTCTGGGTGGTATGACATGTACCGGAATTGGGGTGCATTGTGGACCGTGCAAAAGAAGATGGTGGGACCCTTATCTTTCTTACTCACCACGGGCGACGGTCGCAGATTAACTGCCTACAATGCAGTGGGCAACGGTTGGACTTTCGGCCAGACTTGGGAGGGCGCTCAATACTAGTTATGAACCTTAGACCTTGCGGGCAGCGATCTTGCTTCTTCTTCAACGCCGAAAGGAGGCTCATGCCAGGTGATCCGTGATGTGCTTGGGGGGTGCGCTCATAGCGCAGCTGTATGTAGCTGCCAGGCCGCGCAGAGAGCTTGCGAAGATGAAGTTTTGATCAGATGGGTCCTCCTTGGCGCGTGGTCAAGGGGATTGCATGCAATAGTATCTTAGGCTGGTGTAGGTTCATGTTGCCAGGAGGAATTTCTTGTTCCTCGTGTGCTGGGAGTAAGTAGGAAATCTACATTGTTGGAAATGGCTGAGCAGTGCTGAGTAAATTTACTGCCGCCTTAATTGAATGATTCTTGAATTAGCTGCGTGTTGCGAACTTTTGTTCAACGAAGTATTCGAAATTCTGCAATACAATGGGGCTAAGGGCTATTGGTGTTCAATTCTTTTTAACTCCTCCTTGATTAAGAGTTTCGGACTAAGTTGAAATGCACACCGCTTCACACAATCTACCCGTTGCGGAAAAGAGCCGCAGATGTTTCAAATTCCCGTTCTGTCATTTCAACACGATTCTTTGGAGATCCAATCTAGAGCTCACTTTGGAACTTCATCTTTTACTCCTGCATCTATATTATATTACATTACTACTGCACTGTGCATTCTCACAGTCAAGGTTAAAAGTGAATATAAAGCTATCAACTATCACTCTAACCTCGCGGTCCTTAACCTTCCAAGGTTTGTTTTTTCTTTTTCTTCTGTCGTAGTGAAAACTGTCCTGATCAGTAGATATGTAGAATTCAACAGGATTACAAGCATGGCCACAAGTAATGACAAAACTCCCTGTCATTTCTTCGCCTCCTTCGCTCTAACTTCTTGTTGGTGGTTCTGTTTATTAATTCACCTGTAGAGGATTTTGCCGCTTCTCCAACCAACTAACATCTGTGACTAGGAACTGTAACACATTTGCATGGAAGGAGGACATGAACGATAGAATTGAGACATGACCCAGCTGAAAGACTCCTTCCAAGAGTGCGAATTCATCAACTCAATTGTAGAGCCTTTGAACAACGCTTTGACCTCAGACAAGGCACAATGCGTTTATATCATCCCACTTGGAATAGTATGGCGGGCATGTCTATTTAACTGCTTTTATTTAAATTTGAACATTGTTTTTTTTTTTTTTTCAAGGGTTTTGATCTATGCACTTAGGCAATTGGCTTGGTTAACGTGCATCCTATTTTTGAGCCTGGCAGTTCCCAGGAATAATCATTTGAGAATAATCAACCAGTGCATTCCGGTCGGTTTATCTTGTCCTCAATTTTGGTGTGGACGATTTGACGCCAAACAGTATGCTGAGTTGAGTTCATAGTCCCAATTCAGGATGTTTGCCTGAACTTCATGCATGTGTAATGCGGTAGTGTAGAATATAGTTCATGTATTAAATTATGACTCATGTACCTAAACCATGAGCAGTTCTATTTTCACATAGCATTTCTGAGCAAATTCTCAAGGGTGTCTTGGAAAAAGAGTTTTCTTAGAAATAATGCCAATGTAAACAAGTAAATTATTTTCATTTTTTTGAAAACAAACAAGCAGCCTCCTTTGCTATCAAATTGGAATGAAAAATAGAGGCTTGATAAAATCTCTACACAAAGTTGGCTATACTTAACTTGCATGGTAGGATATAGTTCTGTTTTATATCTTGATTTTTGTCTCTTGAACATAGTTTATTATTTATAGTTTAAGTATTTTTAATCTTTTTCCAATAAGATCTGCCACAATCTATCAATCAAAACCAAATTATTTATCAATTTCTTTATTTGGAAATTTTTTTTGCCTAAAATTAAAATTGTAGCATTACTCCCAAATTATCCACAAATATTCACTATTAGAGACCAAAGCACTTTTTTGTCATTGATGGTACCAAAGGACTTGGCCAAAAATGATTTGTTGGAACTACATGGCTAGCCATAGAGTGTTGATTGGAACATTTTACTTAGATAATACATAATGTATGATCTCCACCCTCATATTGATATGCAAATCTAAAATTTGTGGGTGCATGATTTAAATGCATATAAAATGCATAGATGATATTTATATTTGATGTTGTGTCCTATTTTCTATATTTATGTATTCACCAAAATTCTTCCAAGTCATATTATTCATATAAGAGTAGAATCTTTTTTGGCCTTACTTTTATTCTAAAGTACAGACTACTTCATGCCAAAGTTTAGATTTGCAATTCAACTCTATTCATTTATTTGGATTGAAGTGCACTAAATATATTTTTTCGAAAAACCTTACATCATAGCAGAGATTGATTTTTATTTATTTATTTATTTATTTATTTATTTATTTCTCCTCTAAGGAATACTTAGTTTTCTATGTAAAATCTGTGTGGTCAAAGTTTAAGCTTTCTATAATAAAAACATTAAATATTTTCTTATAGATGGATTTATCAGTTCTTTATCTTTTAATATCTTAATATTAAGTTAAATGAGTTGGAACTAATTTTATTAGGTATAATTTCTTCTTAAATTCACTGGTAGAATAATAAATATATTATTTTCTCTATAGATTGTAAAAACAAATCGTCTTGTCAAAAAGTCTTCAATAAGTTGAATGTAATTAATTTTTATGATTTCTTAGAAGGCTTTAAAGAAATCAATCCTAAATTTGAGTGGTCATAGTATTCTATTATTAAATAAATCTTTAATAATAAAATAAAATAAAATAATTCATAGAATTTCTTCCAAAGAGTTTATGCCTTTGTCTTCTAAGTTTCTTTGATAAACATTGGAAATTACAGTTTTTAGTTGTGTTTTACTTGCATTTATTTTATAATTTTTTAACCTCAAATATAATAGAATTTAAGTCCTATTATTTCTATTTTTTCTAGTTTTATATTTATTTTTTTCATTATGATTTATTTTAGTTTTTAAATTCTTCTTTTTTTTTCTTTTTTCTTTTTTGTATGTAAGAATTATCAGTTAATATCTATTTAACCATAGGTTGAGTTCTTTGGTCTTTTTTTTTAATATATATTAATAGAGAAGATTTCTTGATGGAATTTTTAATCATTTTAAGATTAGAAATTTTGAAGATTGGAATGTAATATGGAATATGTTTTTTCTAACCTTATTCTACATATATATTGTTTTATTCATTTATTTTTGGCTCATATTTTGAAATAATTATTTGAAAACCTATAGAATCTTTTAAATTTGTGTTATTAAAAGGTGATAAGTTATATTTATTTTAAAATTTAAATTTAAATTTTGACTTTTTTTTTCGTCTTAAAAAAATTTTAAGCTTTTAACTAAATAGAAGTCTATAGGAAGGTGAAATTTGGTTGAAGTAGCTCATTAGCAATTAATTAGATAAATTTATGTATTTTTTAATGAATCATTGTAAAATAATAGATTAGTCAAATACTTAAAAAAAAACCTTAAACATATTGAGTTGTGCTATAATTTTTTTTAAAAAAAATCTTTAACTTTCTCAATAAAAATTAATTAAATTATTTCATAAAAAAATACCTATTAATATTTAAGTTCTACTTTAGTTTATTCTAAGTTCTTTTCTAAAATAAAAATACCTTTATTATAACTTTATGGCTTATCTTCAATGTTTTTATTCATATTCTAAATTTTATCTAATATCTGATCAGAATTTTTTAATTAAAAAATATTGTAAATACTTTATTAAAAAACCCTTTTACTTATATTATTTTTTACATATTAATTATCATTTCTAATATTTTCAATAGGAATATTTTACAAAATGGTTCAAAATTTTAAATTTTCTAATAAAAAATCCAACAAAATATACTACATGTAATAGTTTGAAGTCAATAAGAATTTAAATTCTACATTTTCTTGCTTTATCTTTAATATGAATCTATCTAAGAATAGCTTTAAGAATATGACATATTACTTACTTTCAAAAAAAATGACCTTAGTTTCTTACATTAATATTGTTTAATATTTGATTTAATATTAGTATAAATTTATATAGTGGTTGTGGAAAAAATATATTTTTTAAATTAAATAAGCTAATAAGGATTATTAAGCCTTTTTATATAAATTGATATTATATTAAAACATATTAAAATAAAATTAAAATAATATCCAATGGACCCCTTTATGAGAAAAGTGCAAAACTTGTTAAGTTTGATGTAAGAGGAGAGTTTGTAATAACAACTTTTTTTTAGTCTTATTTTGGTTAATTCAATTTTGTTGTTGAAAAGTGAATCTTAGAAAGACTTGATTTGAAGAATTATTTTTCTTTCATTTATATTTTTTGGTGGTCCTATTATTAGATACTTCTTGGTTATTTGAATATTTATGTTGGTTGAAGCTAGGCTAGTTAAATTCTTCTATGCAATTGATATAGTAGTGGAGTTTGAGAAAATGAATAAGACAGCTAGTCCTATATTTGGATCTGTTTTTTATTTTTTATTTTTTATTTTTTTTAAGATTGATCAACTCAATACAAGATGATTTGCATGCTTAGTAGATTATTTAAGTTGATTAGATTGACAAGCAAAGAAGATAGTGTGGATTATCATTTCTTTAAAGAAGATAGTGTGGATTAATATGTTATTTAAATTTAATTTTTTTAAATAAATAATTATATATATATATATATAAAAATATATATTATTTTAATAAATATATCAAAAAGTTATTTTGTTACATAAAAAGATAAGTATTTTTTGATTCATAGTAAAAAATTACATATTTTTATAGTAATATCAATGCTAAAACAATTATAGAATATACAAGGATAATGTTAACATAATGTATGGAGTGTGACCTTTTTATCTTTTTTTTATTTTCTTTTTATTTTTTTACAAGCTTATTTTTTATAATATCTTTTATATAATAGACTTATTTGTAATTTTTGTGAGCATGCGTGGCTACTTATGACATTAAGAGAGTTGTGACATTAAGAGAGTTTTATAAGAGTCAATATTATTAAATCTTGTTTATACAAGAGTAAATATTTTGGTTTCAATTTAAGGTCTAAATAATTATCAATTATCTTTTTTTTTCTTTAGTAATGATGTTTCAAGGTGGCTTTCTAATTTCATTTGATTTTCTTAGTGGTTAGTGTTTGATGATTTAATTTTTAGATGATCTAATGTGTATACTTATGTTGGTCCCATCTTTGTAAAAAAAACTACCATTAAGTGATGATATTATCTCTTTTAGTTGTTAATATTTTATAAAGCAATGGTTTTTTATTGATCTATTATATATTGGTATTGGATGTTGAAAAGATATTAACGTGAGTTTAAATAAAATTATTTTTGTGATTTAAATATTTTTATTTTTATTTTTTATAGTTATTCTAATTATTTTTATTATATTAAAAAATTACTAAATATATTATAAATACACTTCTATAAATATAATATTAAAATTAATGTTAATTTAAGC